TCTCATCTTATTCCTCTTGATTTTTGTCTGTTGAAATTTATCTAGTTTTATTAGTAAAATAACTTTTAATTCAACCAAACTTCGAGGATCGACGTAGAAAGTTACGTGAGGACCCAATTGATTATGAAAGGCGATAGTAACAGCTACTGTCAATTCCCAACTATGGTTCTTCATTGCCATTCCACATGAATACCGTTGAAACAAAATACCCAGAAGCTCTACCGTGAATTTCTATCGGTGAATCGTCGCCACCCTCTTTATTGTAGGTTTTGGTTCCGGTATAATATTCTCTAAGCATGGAAGTTTCCTGAGTTGCCTTTTAAATTCGTTCCGATATTCCGTACTGCAATAGCATTTTTTATGTTCACACTACAGAACTAACCAAGTACTTCTAGGACAAAATATTTCAACGATAAAAAAATATTTCTTTTGATGTTCCATAAGATCAGTTTTTACCTTCTCCAATAATAGAAGAACCAATTGCATGAAATGCTTAAATTAACAAATATTCCCGCGTAGCATCCTATGTAAAATGCTGTCATTTCGGAAAAATCGTAGAAAAGTGTTGACAGATAGATCACCGTTGATGCCAACTGTCCCAGTCCAATAAATGCCACGACTATCTTTAATGATTGTAACAGCTCGTAGTTTCTAGTTGCTGAAATAGAAATAGGAGAACGCTATGACAACCACTACGGTTATTCATAATTAATTAGTTTTCATGAAATCCTTGACAGATGTGATTCTATACCTGAATAACGAAGGAACAAAGCAAAGGATAGTCCGATAACATAAATACGCCATTCGATGATGGAGAGATAGACCAAATATCTTTCAGGGTGATGTTTTACTTTGTCAAATATTTAAATAGCTCACTTGTTTTAGTTTTCACCATAACTCGGCTCAGTATTGCATAAAGTATAATTGTTGCTAAATTAATAACAGCTGATGAAATGCTCCAAACCGAGTCTGACAAGCCACTATATATTGCAACCACAACACAAATTACTTCGATACTGCAATGAAAAGATACAAACGGTAATTAAGGGAATAAGATTATAAATGGAGAGCTTTTTGTACAATTCTACCTTGGAATATTTGGAAATACATTTCAGATATCAAACATCTCATATGTTTCTTTTTAAACTATTTGTTGTTCATCTCGAATTTTGATATTTTTGTCTTTTTTCCCTTTTAATAACAAAGCTTTATTCA